GGGATAGTTATAAAGCATGCAGCAAGACACAAAAAAGGGGAAAAATACAAAAATACAAAGAATTAGAGAAAAAACTCTTCCAGTTAGAAAAACAGTCAAAATAGCTCAATTGAAAAACTAGTAGATAATATGAAATCAGTACAACATCAAATAAATCTATGGTGGATGTTAGAAATGGCAATGAAGATAAACAAGCAAAACAAAATTTCTTTGAAAAAGCAAACAAACCAGGCAGATGGCTTGCCTGTAGACTGAGAAAAGAACAAACAAGAAACCACAATTATAAACCTTAAAGACCAGGAAGGAGAGACTAAATGAGAGCAGTAGGAAATCAAAAAAATTGTCTAGGATTTCTATCAAGCACTATACAAAGAACCAGGGAAATCAATAATAGAGCAAAGAAAGTATCTACAGAAGTTTCAGTTAAAGAAAATTATCTAAAGAAAATAAAGAGATCTTGAATTCCTCAATAACAATGTATGAAGTGGTGGAAGCTGTTAGAAAACTAAAGAATAATACATCTCCAGGAAGTGATGGAATACCTGCTGACTATTACAAGAATTTTGAAGACGTTCTAGGTTTACCCTTTAAGGAATTAATAGAAGAAGTAGAAATAGAAAAAGAAATTCCCACTTAATGGAAAGAAGCAATAATTTCAGTGATACATAAAGTACAGATTGATCAGAAATCCAAAACTGTAGACCAATTTCGTTGTTGAATGTAGATTATAACATTTTTGCATCAATGTTAGCAGATTGTATTGTAATTGTGATGTTTCTAGAAGAGTTTATCTGCCGGTCTAAGTGCGACTTTAGTGTTTGTGTTCCGAATCTAGGAATAGCTGTTTAAAACAGTAATGTTACAAATGTGCCACATGATGGCACTTTAGTAAAGTAAGTGAAGGCAGCCCATGTCTGAATGTATGCTGATAACATTTTGGAGGCATAGTTTATTTAATCCTGAACATTAGATGCTGGATGAAAAAACGATCAACATATAACATCAGCCTTACATCTCATGATGTGTAGTTGGATCAAGAGCACTCTCCCAAACAATCAAATTAAGCCCCCATTTCTCTTTGAAATCCCACTTGCCGTTGTTTTTCTTTTAATTTTGTCTCGAAGCAATTTAAAAGACATATTTTCAGGAAGAATTACTCATCCTGTGCTTGGTTCATCTCAGTTTTCTATTCTTTCCCCTCGTCACATAATCCTTATCTTCTCCCACATATGTGAAGGCCAGGACAGACAGAGGGGAAACTCAGAGGCATGCTATGGGGGCTGTGCCTGCCTTCAGGCTTCCAGTTTTAAGTTGTGACGTTTCTCAGCCAAGGAAGCCAGATCACGGAGGAACAACGCAGAGAATGTCAGCATCTCATTAGAACATGACAAAGTCCGTCCCTCCACTTGTTGGTCTGCACCTCCTAGCATTTCTCATGTAGGCTATGTTGGCAGGAGCTAATGGGAGTTGCAGTCCAGAAACTTTGAGGGGCTGCTGTTTACTCATACTTGCCTTTTAGACCTTAAGATTTTTGCCTTGTAAAGTAAAAGTCAAGTCTCGGAGCCCTCTAGTAATATTCAATGCTCTCTCTTTACATGGACGGAACCTCAGCATTTTCTACGGTAGGGATGCGGAAACGCAGACCCACCAGAAAATATTGGACTCTATCCTGGACCCCGCTTGCTGGGGCTGATGGGATTTGGAGTGCAACACTTTGATTTATTTAAAATATTTTTACCCCAAATTTCTCCCTAAAAAAGGACTCCAGGTGTCTTGCATAACTAAAAACATAATATTAAAAGCAAAAAATGTAAATTTTTCAAATAGTAAAGAAGAATTAATAACATTATATTTAAAATGTTAGATAAAAGCTTTACTAAAAACAGATTTAGAAGCAACAAAATATAAATGGTATTGTCTCTTAGATAGTCATTAAGGAAAAGCCTGCCTTAAGACAAAGGTGGTTTTTTTGCCTGCTTTTGGAAGGACAGGAAAGATGGGGCCAGCCTGACCTCCTGTGGGAGGGAGTTCCAGAGTCTGGGAGTAGCAACAGAGAAGGCCCTCTCCTGTGAGATGTATCTGTGAGGATGGTGGGACGGAGAGAAGGGCCTCCCCCAATGATCTTAATACCCAGACAAGCTTGTAAAACGAGATACTGTATGGGTTTTTGAGATAGCTTGGACCCATGCTGTTTAGGGCTTTATTTGTTAAAACCAGTACTTTGAATTGTGCCTGGAAACGGAGCACAGGGTCCTCTCCTGTAATGAAAAAATAGGAGAACATTTTGTTAGGACAGTATTGTGCCGGTCATTTTCACACTGACTCATACTATTGTAATTTACTCTGTTACGTAGGCCAGTCTTAAGCATAGACGTTTGTCTTCTATGAGAAACTGAAAATGACTATGACTCTACGTCATTTTTCACAGCAATCTGGAGAACTCACAACAGTCTGAAGAGAGAACGCTTGGTGGGATAAAGCTGTTTCTTTTGTTAATTTAAATAACAAAAGATTCTTGTTGTGTTTTCTGTATGGACCCAGTGTTGAATAACTGTTCTTAGTTTTGGAAATGGGAAGCATTCTGGAGGCTCATGTTGCTTTCTCTTTCTCCTTTGTACTCTATCCCTTCTCTCTTTTACTGTTCTGGTGCTGACCATTGTGTAGTGTATTGCATGGATGATGATGTAGCTGTGGTTAGCTTCAATCTTGAGCTGACCATGGTTAGTGTTAATAGTGGTGTAAATTAAGACCTTACTTGGGTTAGCTCTGGCGGGGAAGGGAAATGAATTTGCATGAGAGGTGGATGCAACTGAGAGGTGAAAAGGAATATGCGAACTTGTGGGGCATTCGCCTTGGGTTTTTTACTTTTGTTCAGTTGTGAAGAATAATATGTCCAGTCTGCTATGTTCTTCAAGCATCTTTAACTAAGATGTTTGAAGAACTATTGCTAGTGGCAAGTGTAAATGCCATAAAATATAATTGGCAGTATTTTGATTTTGTTCATTTAATGATTCTCGTAATAGTCAATATGTCATTCACATTTTTCCTCTTTGGTTTCATTGTATTATTTTTATTTTCAGTATTTCACTGATTGGTTTCTCTTTAGTTAAATCAAATTAGTCAAGCAGGAAGAACTCAAGCTGAGAAATTAATGCAATAGCTTTTAGAGCAGTTAGATCAAAGCTTTAAGCAAGTGTATTGCAATAATTGAAATAATATTTTTATTGCAGTCAAAAGTTAGTTTATAACCAGGTACAGTTAATTACATCTGAAATGTTGTAGAACTTACTTGGATAGCAACTTATATGTTAGGACAAATGCATAAAGCTATAGGTGAGAAATGGGACGTTTCTGGTTCTTTTAAAATGTGTTAGATTAGCCAGTAGTAATTTTTCTGTGCTAGTGAGAAAGGCAATTCTGTGTAATGGTTTGTCCACATAATGGTTGCATTCGGTGTTCCCTCTAAGCTGCATGGATGTGCAGCGCTGCATCAGTGCCACATACCCCCAGCCAGTGTTGTGACCCATTTGGTTCTGGTTGTAGCTGGAACCCTGCATGTGTGGTGTGTGGCCCCCTCCTAGTGCTGGTGGAAAAGTTAGAGGGAATGTTGTTGTGTTATAATTATTTGTACAGCTCTGTATCATATTTTGTCTGAGGATAATTGGCCCATTTTGTGTTGTTAGACTGGGCAACACTATTCCAACCCTCCTATTCTCAACAAAGCAGCATAGTGAATTAAGAGACTTTCTTTTACCCATTGTTGGGTGGAAGGAAAAATGGTTTAGTGTAGACCACTGGTTCTTAACCTTGGGTTACTCGGGAGTTTTGGACTGCAACTCCCAGAAGCCTTCACCACCAGCTGTCCTGACTGGGGTTTCTGGGAGTTGCAGTTCAAAAGCATCCGAGTAATAAAGGTTAAGAACCACTGGTGTAAACTATTATTTGGTTATTAGATTGTGTTGCTTCTTATTTTAGTGTACGATCTTGCATGTCATTTATGACGGCAGTTTTAGAAGTGGTTATGTGTGAAGCTGGAAGATGGGTGCAGGTTGTCAGTGTTTGAACATAAGAAGACTCAACATTGGTTACTGATTCTGTTGTTGGTAGAGCTTCGCATAGTGGGTTTATGCATTATGAGTAATACAGAAAGACAGTGCAACTTCCGTGAGGTTCAGGTTAAAGAATCATTCTTTGATTCAGAATGGTAAGAGTGTTATAGCTCCTCCTGCTGTGTACTTAACCTGCTTCGTGAATTGCATTTTTTCCAGTGGCCTTTGGAAAGTGAGTAGCCTTGGGGAAACATTTGCAATGTGCAACAATTTATATCTGTTATGTGTTTAAGGAGGAACTTAGAGAACTCCGGGAACAACCAACTGATCCTCAGGCTCAACAAGAGATAATTAACAGCATTGAGGAAGTCTATTTTTCCAACGATTCCTTTGATATTGTTAAGTATGAATTGGAGGTAAGAATATTCTTTAAATAGTAATTACATTATTTCAAAAGAAATAGCTCTTGATATGTACTTCAGTCTTTGTTGTACTGGATCTGTACTTTTCTGTTTCTCAAAATGCATATATCTGCCCAGAGACCTTTGGGTAGAGTGGGCGGCATATAAATTAAATAAATAAATAAATTTTATCTTTCTAGGCCTTGTCCAAAATAATGGATCTGTACTTTTCTGTTTCTTAAAATATCTGCCTTTTATCTTTCTAGGCCTTGTCCAAAATATGTCCCACTATTAGCGTTATTTGGTTCTTTAAATAATCCTGGCATTTGAATGGCTTTATGTGTTGTTTTAAACTCGGTTTTGTTTCTGCTTTATGTGCAGAAGCTGCCTCCTGTTCTTAATCTTCAAGAACTGGAAGAAAACAGAGACAAACTAAAGCAACAGCAAGCTGCTGTAAGTAGGCAGTGTTTTCTCCTTCCTCATGGCCACTCACTTTATTGAGGTCCACTAACTTCATTCCTTTTTATTATTGTTTGTCAGAACCAAACCCAGATACCTTTGTTGAGAACTTGAAAACAAATTCACACGTTTTACCAAAGACTTGAAAATTCTAATTCAGGCGGGGTGGTTTCTCACATGTCTGGAAATTGAAAGGGTCTGAGAAAGATCATTGTCTCTAAGACATGTTGGTGGTGCCTGATAAAGGAAAACGCTGTCCATGGAATGGCACTGTGGTGTCTACTTCCACTGTCAGAGTCAGCCAGGGCTGAACTAAGACACTTTGCAACCTAGGCCAGGGCAGCAAATATTCCCTTCTCCCCATGAACAGCCCAGAGCTGGCAGATTATTTTGGAGCAAGAGGCATACATACTGCAAATGCCTTTTCCTATATCTGACAGTAAAAATAAAATAAAAACAAAGTAAAAGTCTAGCAATTAGCTTCCCTTTTGTGTTTCCCAAATCTTGTCCTGATGAGGCCTCCTCATGGTCCCCAGTACAGTGGTGCCTTGTTTAGCGACGATAATCCGTTCCAGGAAAATCGCCGTTAAGCGAAAACATTGTAAAGTGAAAATAAAAACCCCATTGAAACGCATTGAAACCCATTCAGTGTGTTCCAATGGGGTAAAAACTCAACGTCCAGCGAAGATCCTCCATACGGTGGCCATTTTCGCTGCCTATAAGCAAGGAATCCATCCCTAAACACAGCGGGGAGCCATTTTAATTACCCAGTGGCCATTTTGAAACCGCCAGTCAGCTGTTTAAAAAACATCATTTTGCGAAGAATCAGTTCCCGAACCAGGGAACTGATCATCACAAAGTGAAATTCCCCCACTTAGACCATCGTTTTGCGATCACAATTGTGCTCGCAAAAAGATTGTTGTAAAGCGGATTTGTCATAATGCGGGGCAATCGTAAAGCGAGGCACCACTGTAATAGGACTGGGCCTTGAGCTCGCTTACCTTCAAATATCAGCGGCTGGGGAACATCATGGAAAAGCTGTTTGTCTCATGTCCTGCTTGTGGGCTTCCCACAGGTAACTTGTTGGCCTATTCTGATGAAACAGAATGTTAAACCCAATACTCCTTTGCTCTGATCCAATATGGTTCTTTTGTTAGATGGGCCCACGATTTTATTCAGTATAAAGTGTTGTACATGGAAACTGCAGTGGAAGTTGTGAAGGAGTGAATCATGCCTGACACTGCTGCACCCTGTTGACAGCTTTTTGTAGGATCCTTTCAACACTCTGTGGCCTTAAAACCAGTTCACGTTACTGTAGTTGGCTATGTCAGCTCCTCTGCAGTTTTGCTCCTTGCTAGCTTGTTTGAGCCATCTGGCATGATTTATTGAGTCATTAATTGAACTGTGCAGGTATCTGCAGTCTCTCAGCTTTCCAAGGAAGCCCACAAATGTTACTAGCCAAGAATCCAGCTCCTAAGTGATCAAAGTGCCCAGGCTGACCTTGAGGGCATGAAGATTGTGAGCCTCATAGAGGCTGCCATGTGTCGCTTTGCTTGTTTGTTAGCTTTTCTTCCAGAAAACAAACTGGCAGAATCAAATAGAATGATCTGTCCTTTTCACCAGCCTTCTGGTTGGCCTGAATGGCATTCCTTGTTCTTTCTGGCTACCAGGCAAGCCATGAAATGGAAGACTGCTTCATCTGTGTATTGGATGGCAGATGTGGATAAGTGGGTGGTGAATCCTATTTTCTCTAGGACTTACATTTGTAATCTAGATCAGTGGTTCTTAACCTTGGGTTACTCAGGAGTTTTGGACTGCAACTCCCAGAAGCCATCACCACCAACTGTGCTGGCTGGGGTTTCTGGGAGTTGCAGCTCAAAAACATCCGAGTAACAAAGGTTAAGAACCACTGATCTAGATGGTACAGGCAGATTGGCAGAAATGGAATATAATTAGTTGTGTGTCCTTAGTTTACCGTACTAGGTACTATTGTACATCAATAAAAACATGATTACCGGTATGTTATTCACTGCTGACTAAGTGCAAGATGCAACTGTATTACATTTACTGGAACACAGAAGAAGTTGTAAGAGAAAACTGTGTTTACTGAAAGAAAAACATAAATTTTAGCATGTTAATAGTAACTACTAAGTTCCATAAATTGCTTTTAGGATGGCTTGTCTATTTTCTTAAAGTAGCATTCTATAAATCTCCTTCATAGATGACTCATTTTGTGATTATCTACTAATGACATAGGAAAGGGATATATTAGGCTTCATTGTCCTGTGCTCTCTTTTAATTTTTATTCAAGTGTGTTTTTCAGATTGGAACAGGGTGGGAGGTTAATTTCAATACTGCTTGTAGTTTCTAATGAGAGTCTGTAATTTTCCTTGTCGTTACATTGGAGCCAATGATGGCAATAGTTTTTGAAGCTTTTATCCTGTTTATCTGCAGATGTTTTAATGTAGAGAAAATCTAATGGTTTGGGTGTGTTATTAAGAATTTCTGGAGCCCTTCAAAGTATTTGATGTAAACTTGTCATTTACATGTCTTCACTTCCCATAATTGTTGTTCTTGTACCTTTAAATATTATCTTCTAGGTATCTAAAAAGGTTGCAGACTTAATACTGGAGAAGCAGCCTGCATATGTCAAGGTAGGATAATGTGCATATATATTTTATTTTTTAATTGGGAAAATCCTTGTGTGATCAACCAAGCACTACATCTAATGTTAATACATTTGAGTTTAACATCTTTCAGTAAACATCATTTATTTGTGTATTTAAAAACATTTATGTTCCCATCTCATCTCTGCTTTATTTATGTTTCACTGGCAGCTTAGACCAAAGTCAATAATTTAACAGTTAAAAACATCTGTACAGCATAAAATAAACACGAAAGCACCAGGAAAGATCACACCACAGTCAAAACATTGAAAAATTAGTGATTTGTAGATTAACAGTTCAGTCCTAACTCGAAACTGGGTTGGCTGTAGAGCAGTGGTCCCCAACCTTGGGCCTCCAGATGTTCTTGGACTTGAACTCCCAGAAATCCTGGCCAGCAGAGCTGGTGGTCTGTGATCTTCCAGATTTGGATTAAATGCAACATCTAGAATGCCTGGCCACTGATTACACTGGGTATGTTTGTGGGAATGTCCAAAGGGTCACAGATTTTCCACACTTTAGTGAATGAAGTGTGCTTTAGTGAATGGAGAAACACTGTATGTAACTGAATCTTATGCATGTCTCCTCAAAAGTGTGCCCCATTGAAAACATGGATATGCACAGCCATAATCCCAATGTTAGTGATAGTTTTTCTTTAAAAAGGACATCAGCCTGGCCTACTAATGGACATTTTACTACTACTCAAACTCTACACTCTTGGAATTTATAAACGCTAAGCACAATTGCACCTCACGATGCACTGAGAAGGGTCATATTTTCTGGAAAAATAACGTGTGTGAAACTCTTCTCTAATACTGTCACTTTGCAGTTCTTGAAATGATTAGGTGGGCTATAACTTGTCGGATCACGATTCATTTTAAAATGTCATGTCTGTACAGCAGGGCTGTTAATGTATTCATAAAACCCCACAAAGTAGTGATTTAATGTTGGTAGTGGCAACAGTTTACTGCTTTCATTTTTAAAAAATCAGGCTATTTCTCGATTTACGTCACAGTACAGAGTTCTAAAGAGACTGTTTAAAAAAACTGTTATGGCAAGAGCAATTTGTTCTGAAAGCCAAATCTTTGTGTTTATTGATTTACGTAGAAGTTGTATAAACATATTCTAGACATATATTTTGCATCCTTATCTGGAAGATATTCTAAGCTTCTTAAGACATGAAGAGAATTGATTTGAAATTGAGTGCTTGTATTTTGTTGTAGTCTGCTACCACTGTCAATGAAAGCTGGTAAAATTGTAGTAGAAATTCTTTCCTGCAGCTTGGTAGGATTTAATGTTTGTAACATTAGAGAGCCATTAAAGTACTAATGGCAAGCTGTTTTTGCACAGATATATGTAGTAAAATTGGGGCCATTGCATCACAGACTATATTATATTGTGAGTGATGTATATATGCAAGTGTGTTGTTTAGTGCTATCAAGCCAGTAGTAAAGGGGTATGCAACTTAAGTTCTCGATGTTATGTCACCTCAGCTCCCATCATCCATAACTATTGGCTCTTCTGTCTAAGGCTGGTGGGAACTGCAGCTCTACAACATCAGAAGGGCAGCATAATGACCACTATTTTCCATCAGTACTCTTAAGATGAACATTCAGAAATTGCAATATTTTGGGCCACAAAAAGCCATTCATGCTGAATCTTTTCCTTGGGAATCCGTTGGTCAGGATGAGTTGGATTTCACGAATGTGATGTCCTTAGGTGTGCTGAGCTACAGCTCCCACCATTCCCACCTGCATAGCCAGTGAATGTGTTGGTGTGGATGATTGAGATTGTAGTCCAGTCAGTTTGGGCAGATGCTAAATTGAGAAAGTCTGGTTTAAGACCTGAGCGTTTCTTCGGCCATCCCATGAATACATTCAGTAAAAATGGTTTGGGTGATTGTGTCTATCAGCCTTCACTGAAGATCCAACAAGTTATTCATCAGCTGAGACCTCCGACTTCCAAATAGACATTCCTTTGTTGTATTAGAAGCTGCTTTTCAAGGGCCCCTGGTTTCTGTGTACAAAGTAGTTTTGAAGAGATGGCAATTGCTGTTTGAGAAACACGTTTGATGTCGCATTCCATGTGCAGAACTACTTGCAACATTCACTGAATTTTAAGTCCAACAGTTCAGTTTTTATAAGTTCTCTGCAGCTACTAGGCAACAACACATCTTCTGTTTGAAAACTGGGGTTCCTCTTACCTTGAGCCATTGATTCTCTATGGTAGAACCTCCTGGGCCCAAAAGCCATTTGATAGTGCGATGGACTGCCTCAGAAAGTGGTGGACTCTGTTTCTTGAGAACTTTTAGAAAAGACGTTGGATGGCCATCTCTCAGGGAGACTTTGTCAGTGGATTTCCTGGGATCAGACTAGAAGATTCGTGGTGTACCTTCCAACCTTAAAAATTCTGTGATCTTCTCCACAAAATGCAAACAAAATTTGATAGTAATAACACCGAATGTGTAACTTCTCCTATATGCCATATTTGACGTATGAAACTTAAAATCATGTTGATGCTTTTTATCTGCAAAACAGTACATTTATGTCATTTGAAGACTTCCAGTGTGTCAGAAATTGATTCCAAGCTCTGAACTTCATAATGTCCTTCATTTAAAAAATGTCAGATCTAGAATTTGGAGAGTTTTAATCAGAATTTCAGTTTAGTCCAGCTATTTTATGTTTTCTGCACTGAACTTTGAACACTCTTGGTGAAAGTGATGGGCCTACCTACCTACTCATTACACCATTTAGGCTGGGATGGTTCTTTTAAAGATGTAGGTTGGTGTAAATTAAGTCCCTTTGTATGAGGATATCTCCTTTTAATCAAACACTTTTGTAACCTGGAGAAATAAATTCATTCTATTACATTTCTGTAGGAACTTGAACGAGTTACATCATTACAGACTAGTCTTCAGCTAGCTGCTGTCATTTGCACAAATGGAAGAAGGTACAGTACACCTTTTAACGACACGTTATTGCTTTACGGAAGACAAAATGAATAGCACTTCTGAAATAGTTTTCTCGCTGCTTTCTTTATAGGTATCATTTGTAGACAACCTTTCTTCCAAAGGGCTTAAAGAAACATGCATGCTGTTCTCTTTGCTTTTTTGGTGGGGGTGGGGACAGGCTCACAAATTCCCAGTGCTTTTTATTTTTTCTGAAGAGAGATTCAAACCTGAGACCTGCAGGTCTGAGATCTCCTGCGGCTAGTCCCTCCTTGCTCACATCCCACTAAACTGAGATTTTGCACAGGGTGTTCCAGTTAGATGCCTCACTGATGTTTTAGGACTACTGTTCTCATTATGACTGATCATTGGCCATGCTTGCTGGATTTGATCCAGGGTGCAGCCAAAAACATCTGGAAGGCATCCAGCTAAGGAAGATTAATTTAGCACGATGTGTGAATACAGTCAGGATTCTTAATTAATCATGTTTTGTGTGAAGCCATGGTGGGGATGTACAATCTCCAGGCTTTAAAGGAAGTTACTTCCAAATGCTAGATGCAGGAGGGTGGGTATCAGGAGACAGCCATCTAGTTGTTTCATGTGTTCCCAGAGACATCTGGTGGGGCCACTGTGAGATACAGGGAGCTGGACTAGAGGGGCCCTTGGTCTGATCCCGCAGGGCTCTTTATTATGTTCTAACCTCATAATACTTACTTAATAATATTATTACTTAATATTTTCGTGAATCCCAAGAGGCTTGCTATGTGTATCTGTGCATGATATCATGCTGGATAGCACAGTTTGGTTGGGAGTTTGATTCCTCACTGTGCCTCCTTGACTTGATGACCCATAGAGTCCCTTCCAGCTTTGCAGTTCTAAGATTATGATGATAATTCTTTTATTTTGGATTTTATATTATTACCGATCTTTCAATATAGGCCCGTAGATCTAGTGCAGCATACTTTCAGTTCTAGAACAAGGCGAGTTATCTTCCTTAATAGTCAGCTGTTCCTTTTAAACAATTCTTGCAGGCATTTGACTACAGCGAAGGAAGGCTTTACTCAAGCCAGCTTGGGTCTTCTTGCAAATCAGCGAAAACGTCAGCTGATGATGGGCTTGTTAAAATCTCTGAGAACAATAAAGACCCTGGTATGAGCAGAATTTTGTCTTGAACTATCAAAATATTTTCTTAATTCTAATATTATGTACAGTGACTTTTTTCTGCTTCAATTTCTAGCAACAAACAGATGTCCGCTTAAGTGAGATGTTGGAGGTAAGGCCCTGCTCTGTGCTATTTGTCTTCCGGTGTCTTGAGCTAGGCAGGAAAGCACTGCTTAGAGTTAGTCAATGTGAAATGTCCATCTTTTTAAAAAAAGTTTCTGCCGATTGATTTGAACCACAAAACCAAAATGTCATGCACTTATCACTATAGTCTTTCAGAGCCCCATATTCCCTAGGTCAGATTTTGAAAATGTCTCTGTACCAGTGATAATTGCCATAGAAGTGAGAATTTTACCTGTTTTGTTCTCTTGCTGTACAGTGGTGCATCGCTTAACGAGCGCACGAGAAGTGAGAATTTTACCTGGTTTGTTCTCTTGCTGTACAGTGGTGCATCGCTTAACGAGCGCACTGTTTAGTGAAGAATCCGCATAGCGATGCGTTTTTTGCGATTGCTAATGCGATCGCATCGCAACGTTTTGAATGGCAAAACATCGCGTTGCGATGATCAGTAAGCGTTTCGCTTATCGATCTTCACATTGCTATGTTCTAGAAACAGCTGATCGGCGGTTCCAAAATGGCCGCCGGAAGAAAAAATGGCCGCCAGAAGAAAAAATGGCCGCCCCCTCCGTTTTTGCGCCCTGCCCTTGCTTATGGGATGATCGGTAAGCGTCATGTGCACACGCAGGGGCGAAGTTGTGCACAATTGAGACAAAGCCCTGCCCAGCGGAGCTGAAAATTAGAGCGGAAGAAAAAATGGCCGCCAGAAGAAAAAATGGCCGCCCCCTCCGTTTTTGCGCCCTGCCCTTGCTTACTGGGCGGCGAAAATGGCGGCCAGATGGGGGAATCTTCGCATAGCGCTGAGTTTTTCCCCATAGGAACACATTAAACAGAGTTTAATGCGTTCCTATGGGTTTTCCCCCCCGCATAGCAACGAATCCGATTAGTGACGTTAATCCTGGAACGGATTAACATCGCTATGCAGGGCACCACTGTATTTCTGCAATTGAGGTTCCCTTTAAGCAGGGCGCTTGTGCGCGTGCACACATTTCTGTCTACCTGCATACAGTTGTCTTCCTCATCTGCTCAGCGATCACATTAGGTTCCGGTCGTGATGGAAACCAGTGGGGGGGCCGAGTCATCTGTGCACACAGGGGTGAAGTTGTGAGCGATAGAGGCAGAGCCATGCCCAGCGGAGCTGAAAATTAGAGGGTACATTGGCTGCAATGAAAGCGCAAGTCAAAGCAGGGAAGATGTTGCTGTTTGTATAATCCCTACATGTGCAGCAGCATTGTGGACCTGGTACATGTATGGCTGAAGGCTAGTGGTGTTTATCTTTCTGACCAATTCTGATCAGAAAATAGAGAATACACTAATATATACCCAGCACCAGAATTCTCCAGCCTGCATGGTCCCTAGTCATGGGGGTGGGTATGGATCTGGGAATTTTAACTCAGAATAACTTTTCTGACTCCCAGAATCCTGCAGCCACTTTGGCCATTAGCGGTGCAATCCAAAGTAGTAATTTTCCCAAGCTTTAGTTCTTATTCCCTATGCTGCATTCAGCAGCAACTGTAGATTGCTAACAATCAGCAAACCTTTTCTTCCTTTGCTGGAAAGTTAGGAACAGTTGAAGGCTTCAGTCTTGAGCTCGTCTCTTTGCACAGCATACAGTGCAGGCAGTTTGAAAATAGGCCACCATGCTTTCATTTTCTTTTATTTCCCACAGGAGGAGGATTACCCTGGGGCCATCCAGCTGTGCTTGGAATGTCAGAAAGCAGCTAGCACTTTCAAACACTACAGTTGCATAAGGTAAGAGTAACAGGCATTCTGGAGCTCTGTTGGTCAGATGATAAAGTTGTGCATTCCTAGCATTTCCAGAGTTTTTCCTGTCATTAGATGTGGACAAAGCTCTTTAACGAACTGCTTGCAAATTTGAATCAGCTGGGTGCTAGCACTGAAGATTCTGATGAGGGGGGAAGGCAAGAACCAGTATTGGTTTGCATGTTTAAAGGCTTCAGCAGGCAATTATGTTTTAATAACTTGGCCTGAGTACATATGTAGTTGCTAATAGAGATGGGGGTATTCATATTTGTATACATTACGGACATCCCTGCACAGGTGGTGTTAACGAGGGTCTAGCCCAATGGGGCCGGACGGTCCACTCACCGATCTGCCGCGGATGGTGTAATTCTCTGAATGGCTCCGTAGCGCGCAATCTGATTGCCATTCTTTGAACTAGCAGCGAGGCTTCTCCTCCTGCCTCCTGCTAGGAGTGGTGAGCGGATCATGCACTGTGGAGCTATTTGTAGAGTCACACCATCCATGTCTGCAGTGGATTGGTGAGTGAACTGTCCATGGGGCCGGACCTTCATTAATGCCACCTGTGCGGGGATATTCATATTCGTATACGAATACCCATCTTTAGTTGCTAACAATGAAAATGCCAAATAAGTCTAAAGTAGATTGTTATGTAAGATAGCACTTTCTTTTTAACATTAACTGATTCATAGTGAAGGCTGCCAAGTGCCTCCCTATAAAAAAATTTACTTTGATAGTAGCCAGAAGCTTCAATCCTGGCCATAGTTAGCTGGAACTTACTTTGAAATGAGCATGCATGAGATTTCCCTGAATTTCATGTGAAGGTTATTAAGACGTGAGATTTTGTGTAAAATCTCACGTCTTCATGTGAGGCTTCATGTGGGCTCTTTAAGTGAATAAGTCATGTAGACCTGGTTTGGATTTTTGTTTACAGTATAAGAGATCAATTGTGGAAGGGTTGCAGATGGAGGACAGCTGTAGCTTGCCATAGTTTTGCCATAGTTTTAAGGAAAGTTGTACTAATAGCACTCCCAAGAGGCTTTCTGGAGCTCTGTTAGTCAGATGATAAAGTTGTGCATTCCTAGCATAGGGTGGATTTTTCTGTGTAGAAGAAAGATGCAGGTTTAATTTGAAAGTGGTTGATGGTGTTGGTGGCCAAAGACCATGCCATGTAATTAGAAATGGGTAAGAAACCTGTTCTTGTTGTAGGTAAGAGGAACATTCCTGGGTCCTGTTATCCCAGATGTAAAAAAAGAACAGTGCTTTGTGGTTGCTGCTACCAAAATAAGTTGTGAGTAACTTGTTAAAATGTTAGCTGTTACTTTCAAGCTTTGGGGACAGGGACAGTGTTTTTTGGAGCAGCCATAAAATATTTGGGCTTAGTTTTAGTATTAGGAGAGTCATAAAAATAGTATTCTAAATGCCAGCAGGTAATTTTATCCTTGTCTTAATTTTTCTCCTACATCTTTGAAAATCAGTTTTATTAGAGTGTCCTGGAACAACTATAAATATATTACAGCTCTTTGTGACCTTTAACAGTTCGCTAGGGTACCAGTGTTGAAATAAATTAAATCATCCTTCAACTTGTGGGCACTCAGATGTAAAAAAAAAGGGGGGGGAATTACTGAAGGGATTGCTGCTGATATTTGAGAATTTAAATGGTTTATGCTTCTCAGTTATTTAGCAGATGTTATTTAAATAAATTGCACTTTAGATGGGTAGAAAAGTGTACGTGTGTGGAATCAGCAAAGCCAACAATAAAACATTTCTGGACATAGCAGAAAAAGCTCTTCTGAAAGAGCAAAAGAGGAGGATGCCTCTAGAGAGGAGGAAGGATGCCAAATACAGATGGCTATCAGGATGTATGGTTTGGAGCTGCCACTTCAACAATGATTATGAGCTACTGGAATATTGACAGCATTCATCATCTACAAGAAAAAAAGAGGCCACCGTTGATATTGATGGAAGGATCTATACCACTCCAGGAGCAGGACAAGACCTGCTGAGAGGGACAGAAACAGCAATGTACAGACCTAACAGAATGACCTTGGTGTGGAGAATCCAGGATTGATGGATAGCGAGGTTATCAACATTCATCAAGCCTGCTAATTATTATCTCTTTCCTTTTTTCTCCTCATGGGGACAACTGAAACTAAGACAACTTTCAATGTATTGCAGCTGACTAAGGGTCTCTGGGTAGGAAGGTGAACGCCCTTAGGGTACAAGCGATTATTCCTTCACTCCTTCTTGTTCAGGGTCATGGTTCAGAAAGACTGAGAATATTTCTGGAAGTGAGCAACTGGCTGCTCATTGCAGAATATTTTATTTTTTGGACCATGGCCTGCCCTTCCATGAACAAGGGCTTTTGGCAGGAGATGAATTGCCTCTTGAGAAGAAGATGTTTGCCAAGGGTCTCACAAAATTGATTATGGGAGTTTTAAACTGAACTCCACAGGAGAGGAAGAGAGGAGTCAAAGGAAAGAGGGTATCAATTGCTGGGAACAATGGGGTCGACAGTGCATCGGAAAACTAGGGGTACTGGTTGCACAGCTGTTATGGGGTATAGAAGAGTCAGAAGGGGTATGGAAACCTCCTAGAGGGCAGGGCAAAACAATCGGAAGACTGCAGGATGGGATGATTTAATGGCTTGAGATGTCTCTATACCACTGCACTGAGCATGGGAGCTAAAATGAATTTGAAATCATAGAACAGGAGAGTAAGTATGATTTAATAGGCATTACTGAGGCCTGGTGGTATGAGGCTTATGACAGAATGCAGTGATGAAAGTGTAGAACTTAAAAGAAACAGTGAATAAGAAGAAAGGAGGAGTTGTGTTATATGTGAAGAATGAGTATACCCTGCGAAGAACTCCATGATTTAGAGCACAGAAAGCTGGCTGAAAGCTTTTAGGTGGAAATCAAAGGAGGAGGAAAGAACAGTAACATCCCTTTAAGAGCCTATTACAGACCTCCAAGGTGGACTGACGCCTGGATCAGATCACCAAACACTCAAAGATGTAGTACTGGGAGACTTCAGCTGCTGTGATATCTGTTGAAAGTCCAACACTGGCAAAAATGTAAGGCCCAACAAATTCCTCTCTTGCCTTGGTGAAAAATGCATCTGCAGAAGCTGGAAGAAATGACGAGGATGTTGGTTATCATCCATGTGGTCCTCATCCACAGGAAAGAACTAGTTACTGAAGTGGAAGTAGTGGGTGGCTTGTGATAATCTTCTTGGGATTCATTATATTTGTTCATGTGTTCCTTAATCATTCAGATGTATAACGAATTAGTTAAGGTGTAGAATGTACACATTGCAAATATTACAGTTCTGTATAGTTTTCTGTTTATGCCTTTGAAGTGGTATGTTTCCGTTTCTTTCACAAGTGAAGTCATGTGTATATATAAATATATATGTATTTGTAAAGCATATATTCGATCGACATGGCATTAAAACATTTTTAAAAAAATAAAGTTGAAATTTGGATAACCCTTTTGCTTTTAGCAGATCTTAACTTGGAAAAATATCAGTGTTATGAAATTACAGTTTCCTAGATTAATGGTCAGTAGGTTGACTGCTTGTATATGGATTTCTATACATGTTTAACAAATTACAAAGATTACTATATTCTGTCCTTGAGAATTTATTTATATATTTATTTATTTATTTGATTTATACCCCGCCCATCTGGCCTAAAAGACCACTCTAGGCGGAGAAATAAGCATTACTATGTGTTCTTAGCATAAAACATATTCCATATAACATATTTTTTAAAATGGCCTTCTAAAGATCTGCCAGATTGAAATGATGTGCTATTACGTACCTCTTGATCTGAAAATTTGTTTCTCTGCTTGGCTTTAAACTATCTAATGTCAAACATTTTTTAATTTTTTTTTTTAGTGAATTGAATTCAAAGCTGCAGGACACTCTGGAACAAATAGAGGTGAGGACCGGGTGATTTTAACCAACAATGAATACGTTGATGGTGACTGACTTCCATCATTCGGATGATAAGATGATATTTTCCTGTATTGTTCCCCATGAATGTTTCAATCTAAACGATTTATACAATGTGGCTATTTCTTTTTTTTCTAATAAAGACTGATGTTTTAACTTTATAGGAACAGCTAGATGTGGCACTTTCCAAAATCTGCAAAAACTTTGACATCTCTCATTATACCAAGGTGCAACAGGCTTACAGGCTACTTGGAAAAACACAGGTTAGCAATCTTCGTTTGAAATTATATCATAATACTAATTATTTTGATTATTTGGCTCCTAATCTGCAATAGTGGAAGTAGTTAAAATGTGAAAATATTCAAAGTATACAAATATATCCTTGGCAAATGCAGTACAATTTAATAAATTACTGTTTGAGTTCAGTACTGTTTAATCAAATATTTTGTCATTGGCCTTGTATGCTCAGGGAAAAAAAAAGATGAAAATACAACTGAGGAGAAAAATTGATCCTCAGAAGATGTTGGTGATAATGAGAACTGTAGTTCAACACAACTGGGAGGCATAGATTGAGGAAAGGTTCTCTAGAGCAGCGGTCCTCAATCTTTTTAACTCCATAGACCGGTTGGGGAAGGTGGGACACCCCTGCGCTTGTGCGCATGCATGAAGGAGCAGGCACTCACGCGGGCAGGTGCACACTTGTGCGCATGCATGAAGGAGTGGGAGAGTGCTCATGCGGGCATGCACTGTCTCGTGCGCATGTGCAAAGGGTGGCACGATGCTCGGGGGCACTCGTGCGCATATGTGAA